TTTTATTGACTTTACCCCTGCCCCAAAGGCTAGGTTTTTATTTGATTTATCTTTTCTATTATTTTCTATTTCTACTTCCACGATTTCCGTTCTTATTGGTACCATTTTTCTGTTTACTTTGTGTTTCCTTTTTCTAGATGAGAGCTGAGGTCATTGAGTTGAGACCTTTCTTATCTAACAAGTGCTTAATGCTTTAAAAAAAGTTTTCTGTTTAAGCAATGCTGTAGATGCATCTCAAATTTTGATTTGTTTTCATTTTCATTCAGTTAACTGCTTTCTCATTTCCCTTTTGATTTCTTCTTTGATCTATATTTTATTTATAATTATGTTGTTTAGTTTCCAAATATTTGGGGAATTTTCCAGATATCTTTATATTACCAACTTTAATTTTAATTCTCCTGTGGTAAGAAAACATACTTTGTACAATTGGAATTATTTTACATGTATTGAGACTTAATTTATGACCCAGACTATGATCTACCTTGATAATGTTCCATGTGCACTTGAAAAGATTGTGTGTTCTGCTATTGTTGGGTGGAATGTTCTATAAATGTCAATTTAGGTCTAGTAGTTTGGTAGAATTATTTAAGCATTATATATCTTTCCTGATTTTTCAAGTTGATAAACTTTTCATTGTTTCTTCATATTTTTCTCTCTCACCTTTCATTTTGTTTTTGTGACTCAATGTGTGTGTGTGTTTGGATTTTTTATTATTGTGTTTCATTTTGGTAGTTTTTATTATTATGTGTTCAAGTTAACTGATCTTTTATTCTACAATGTCTTATCTGCTGTTAATCCCACCCAGTGTATTTTTCATCTCAGACAATGTACTTTTCATCACTGAGATGTCTTTGGGTCTTTTTTTATGTCTTCCACATCTCTACTTAGCATACTAAATCTTTCCTCTACCTTTCTGAACACATGAAGTATATTTACAATATATTTTAATGTTCTTGTTCTATAATTCATCTGTGTCATTTCTGGATTTTTTTCTGTTGACTGAATTTTCATTATGGAATCATATTAATATTTTCCTATTCTTTGTATATCTGATAATTTTTGTCAGGGGTCTGTTAGGTCAGAGGTCTCCCTAAAAGCAACCCAGGGTTTGGCCTAGTTGAATTTTATGTTGCTAGGTACTGGATGAAACATATACACACACACAAATACATAAAAAATATCTGCAATGTATATTATATATACTGTGTATTATAAATATATATGTAAATATTTTTGAGCTTTCGAGCTTTGTACTGGGACACAACTAAATTAACCTGCAAATAATTTGATCCTTTTCTGGCTTGCTTGTAAAGTTTGTTAGGCAGAACCAGCTTAGCCTCTAATTTAGGGCTAAGTTGAGCCCACAATGGACACAATAACCTTCCAGGAATTATCCCAGGTACCCCAGCTATCATGAGGTGGCTTGACTCTGGCTGTTGAGAATATGAACCATTCCCAGCCCTGAGTAAGAGCCAATAATTGATTCACCTGCTCCTTTCCAGTAGTTCTTCACCTGGTCTCAGGTAGCATTTGCTGATGATATTCAGTTGAAGATTTGAGGAGAGTCCTTTCCAACATTCTGCCCTGCAAATTCTAGTTGTCTTGGCCTCCTCAAATTCTCATTTTTGTTTCTATAAATTGAGGAGAATGCAGAGCTTTTTGGGTTTCCCTCCGTGTGGGGTAGCCTGAAAACACACTTCAGGGAGGAACCCCGGGCAATCGTAGGGCTCACATTTCTCTTTTCTCAGAGATCTCTGTCCTGTATGCCTGTTTCCCAATGTTTGGAAACTTTTTTCAAACATTTTGTCTGGTTTTAGTTACTTAAAACAGTGGGGGCAAAACAGAACCTGTTGCTCTATCTTATCCATGAGTGGAAATGGCTTGTTGGACTTTGAATGTCTTACAAACTTTCTACTCAGTTATCAGCCAGTAACCACATATTGAAGCAGGCCTTGTCCCTCTGCCTGGGAGGGAATAATTGTCCCTCAGTATCCGGGTGGGGGGATTGGTTCAAGGATCCTACAGATACCAAAATCCGTGGACACTCAAGTTCCCAATACAAAATGGCACATTTGCATTAAAAACTATGCACATCCTCACATATAATATATAAGTCATCTTAGAGATGACTTATAATACCGAATACAATGAAAATGTTATGCAAATAGTTGTTATACTGTGTCATTCTTAAATTTGTATGTTTTTATCGTTGTAGTTATTTGTACTGTTTGTTTTCAAATATTTTCGACCTGTGGTTAGTTGAATCCACAGATGCAGAACCTGAACATATGGAAGGTGACTATATATCTTCCCTGCCTATCTGTTTGAAGAACTCAGGAAATCCTGCACTCACAGTGAACAGCCATTTTTCATATGCATTTTATTTTTTAGACAACTGGACCAGGGCAGAAAACCCTACTCCTATTATTTTCACAAGGCTCCTAATATCTCAAAAGCCACTGCAATATCTTTACAGATAAAATAATCTCACTAAGAAAGGGAAGGTATAGTATTTGAAGTATAAAATACTTGCAATTGAAGAAAACTCAAGACGTCTGTCTTAGGTTGCAAATCAATGCCGTAGGAGCTAAAAAGTCTTTGCTATGGCTTCAGAAGGGAGAACTCTTTTTAACTCTCCCCAGCTTCACAGCAGGTCAGAGGTCTCCCTAAAAGCAACCCAGGGTTTGGCCTAGTTAACAAACAGGGCAGTCCCTGCCTGCTGGCTGTGACTGCTCCCTTTGAAGAGCTCACTGAGCAGGGCCTGGGCAAAGGAAACTGAGGGAGCTGGTTAAGGAGCATCTGAATTGTGCTCTCTCCACCTTCGTATTAGAAAATAGAAAACCCCCTTGCTACTGGGTGTGCCACACTAAACTATCTCCAGGGTGCTGGACTTCCAGGTGCAAACCCTTCTCCAGTGAGGCCAGGAAAGGGGGTTTTGCAGCAGAACGTGTGTAGCTTCATGACTGGCTGTCAACTTTGCCTCAATTGTAGATTTTGCCATGTGACTAACTCTGTGTTAAGAGCTAGAAGGATATTCCTGAGCTGAGGAAAACAAAATACTGTTGATCCCAATCCTTCAGTGGTTGTGATGATGTTAAAAGTCTTGGGGGGTAATGAAATCAGATCAAAGTGGCTTCATATCATTTTCAGAATTACTTCTGCACCATTTGGATCCTATGTTTTTGAGAGAATGGAGAAATAGAATCAATACCTTGAAGCCACATGAAGAATCTACCAGAAGCTTCAGCGTGATTGAGAAGGGCAGAGTCTGACTCTAGATAAAAAATGGATGAAGCTTATTTATAAGCACATTAAAAAAAAACCAAAAACAACTCTTTTAACATTTGATCTATTAGAAAAGGCATTTTGTGTGTTAATTTGAACTTTTGGCTTTTTGTTGAGTACTGTGCCTGGGTTAATTGTGCCAGAGGAAGGCTTCAGTGGTGTGACATGCAGATGGCCTGACTCTGCCACCCAGAACTTTTATAAGCCCTTTACGTGTCAACCAGTATTCTTCTTGCCATAAATGGTGACTAATACTGCCTGCCCCTCATGATAATATTTACAATGCCATTTTTATTCATATATTGTCTTGTGAACAGTGCTTTGCAATCAGTAGAGTAGTCCTTCCATACATTAATTTTCCATCAAACACGGAGTTGAGAAGGTGTCACGCTTCTCTTGAAGATGAGGAGATGGGGTAGTTGTGCAATCAAGAAAAGTTAATGACTTGGCCAGTGCAGGAGACCTAGGCAAAAACAAAAGGCTTCTAATTCCAAATTCAGTGTTCTTTCTGCTAGAATTGTGCTGCCTCCCTCCAGGACTGGTGGAGGATACTGGGACTAGTCCTAAGGCTAATGCTTTGTGATTGTTTCTTCACTCTGCTTCACTCAGCACCGGCTGTACCAAGTTGTGTTTGTAAATGGCTTAGTGTTAAGTTTTCCCAAAAAGGCAGCAGGGTCTAAAACAGGAGACTGGCCCAGTCTGGCATATGGAGGGGCTATGAGAATGGTGGTCATGCTGTTCTCACCACTCCTCCATTATAGTCTGGTATCATTTGGTACTTACTTTTGCTGTCTTTTGCAAAAAGAAGCATAAATCATTTAATATAGAGAAGGGCAAAAAGTTGGTAAGAAGTGTTCCTGGGGATTGGTCTTATAGATTCAACTCTGGGAGGCTGCCTGACTTTACAGTGTCACCTTAGTCATTAAGAGCACAGAAATCCAGGGCTTCAGACCTTCAAAATAATTACTTGCTGAGATTGCAAAACAGTTACTTGTAGAGTTGCTTTAATGGCTGAGCCTTAAACACAGAGTTTGTTAAACTACAGGCTAAACAGTGATGATTTTTCACATGACCAAACCACCGAAGGAAATTTACACTCATTCTTTTTTTTGGTAAATGAAATATAAAAAACAAATTTATCAAATGGCCTGTACCAATTTCCAACGCCCCTACCCTTTTCAGATTAAGCCACATTAGAAATTTAAAACAAATGATTGTAAATTAGGTATTATTCATTTTCTAGCTAATTGACTTCTACTCAATCTTCTGAACACAAAGTAAATCAGAGCAGTGCTGACTGTGATAAAGCATGCATAATGATGCCAAAGGGCGGGCGGAAGAACTGGGCAGGCAGTCTCACACCCCAAGGGTGAATCTGTGTGCTTTTCAGCCGCATTTAGTTCTTAGTCATTCCTTAAGTGTCAAATGTGGGGGGTGGGATGACCTCTGTGAAACCGCAGCTTCTAAAATTCACCCTTTATTACCAACAGACTAGACTTCATATTTTTGCATAGATGCCCGCCCATGCGCACCTCTACTCTGCACTGAATGCACAATTATTGTAATGATTGATTTTCCTTTTGAGACTGTAATACAGGTAATGTTCACATTTGTATACCAAGACCTGACATATAGTAGGTATTTAAAAAATTGTTTTTGATGTGACCAAATTTATATAGGGGAAAAAAAAGAGGTACACCAATATTTTACTTTTAAAAGTTTTTTTGTTTTTTTTTAACTTTTCACAAAGGATTTGCTGTGAGTCTTCAAGTCATCCTGTCCAACCCAAAAGCAGTATTTAAGCGCCGTGGATCCCAGCCCGGGATGCAAGAATCTGACTTTCTAAAACAGATAACAACAGTGGAAGAACTGGAACCAAAAGCAAATAACTGCACCAAGGTATTCATTTCACTTGTGCTGCCTGACCTTGAGTGTCAGTGTCCAGAGTGTGCTACTTAAAATACTTCCTTCTCTTTTAGGTTCTCGTGTGGCACACTCGGACAGAGAAGGTTAATCTAGCCAATGAGCCAAAGTACCACCTGGACACAGTGAAAATTGAGGTATAAAATCAAAGCAACAACTGGTGCAGTTTACCTGGCCAAAGGATGTGGAAGAGGATGTCTGGAGTTTAGGCTGCAGAGATTCAGGTATTGTTCATTTTACTTCAGTACAACAGCCTTTACTGTCATCTGATGGACATCTGTTTAAACAGTGCTTGTTAGTTAACACAAGCTAACTGGATGGTACAAAATGTATGTTTTGTCTTCATTTGTTCTGCATGTTTTCCCTACAACTAAATTGGAAGATTTTTGTATAGTGGAGTTATATGACACTGCAGGATACCATTCTGAGTATCTTACACTTTTCTTCCTCCCTCCTCAATTTGGCCTTATAATTGGTAGAACTCAATAGGTTTCAGAAACAAGATGACAGATATTTTGTCAGCTAAACATTCCCAATTCCTGACTTTGCAATATTAAGTAATTTTGGAAGATTGGTGGCAGTATATATTATAGGAAAGAAAAACCCCACAATTGAAAAGGTCTATGGATTCATCTGTTTAATATAGGGAAATAACATTTTGTCAATACTAGGCACCATAAAATGTAAACACAATTACTGTCATAAACCTGGATATACCTTCAAGGATTCAAAGTGGCTTTGTTTTAGTTACCCTGTTTGCATGTAGTGCAGAAAAAGGTCTTCATGTTAGCACTATGTACATAAGAAGAGATCCAAATTACAAGAGAGGCAGATAAAATTTGAATTCTTTAAACATTCATTAAACTAAGTTTTGTAGTAACATCCAGGTTTATCTTCCTTTCACTAACCACGTTCCCTGTTAAGCACATCATAACAACAGCACAGTGAAGTGAATGATGAAATAAAAGAATTTTGATACACTAGAAAACAGTGTTCAGTGATACATTTACATTCTATTTATATGATTAAACATTTGATCATACAGTACAGTACCTTCCTACAGGATTACTGGCTAATTTGGGGGAGGTGGGGTTTATACTGTTAGAGGTATTACTAACATGATAACTACTTCCCTTATATGCAAACATTAGAGCTATAATTTTATTGAGAGTAAAACTGATTATGCAAGTTGACTGAGCAGCTTCTCAAATAATGATGGTTTATGAAATCACAGGAAATATGAGCAAAGCTGCTTCTGACATAAAATGGTTTATCAACCTGCTTTTCACCACATCAAATTTAATCAGTACAGACCAACACGGTCAATCAGATAATTCTTAATATGAACAAATGGGTAAAAAGAAAAAAAATATATGTACATGAACAAACAGGGGAACTAGATGCGTTTTAGCAAGGAATGTCAGGTGGTAGTTCTGGATGACACTTGTATTTCAGTTTTCATTTCCACAGTTGTGTGCTGAGAGTCTGCCCCGATGAGCTTCCAGACCATCCTGCTGTTGTGGTAGGGGGCTGGCCAAAACCCGCCGCGGGGGTTGCACTACTGATGCTCATGCCAGCCATTTGCTGATTCATCTGTGAAACACACAAAAGGCTTAGTTTAAGAGGCTTTACTTCACTTTTAATTCTTATTTCTTTAGCCACAGTTGGACATTTTTTCATTAACATGAAAATCAGTCAAAGCACTGGAGTAAAAGCAGGCTACCATACAAATATTTTTTAAAGAAAGCAAATAGCTTTGTTCTTTATTTTCTTCTACTTTTTAGCACTGCCTATAAAGTGATCTCAATCATATTTATTCACTTTCTAGATTCAATTTCTTATCCCTAAGATTAACCACAACTGAAAAAAAAATACCAAAGCAATCTTTGAATTTGTATCTGGGTATATGAGTATATTATAAAATGAGTCCATTACTCTTTAACTTTCAACTGTACTAGGATATTGTGCTTTAACTACTAAGGATAAAGAAAATTTTAGAAAGTAAAATAGTCTAAAATTAGCCTCTAAACTTTGTATGATGGCCAATATTCTCTATTAAAATCCTAAATGGCTCTATATACTTTCTAAATACTAAAGTGTTCGTAAAATGTACGTTTTTTTCTTTTGCTGATCTAACAACATAATTTTCATGATATGCTATAAAATATATGTATTTTTCTTCCAGATCAGAGTCAATATATATTAAGTATCTTAACTCTATGGTTCTCTTCCAAAATTGGTGAAAAGTGAAGGAAAGGCAAGATGTTACGTACAGAGTGGGTTCAAAACCTACTCTCAGGGTTAGACTGTATTCTTAACAAAAGTCACTTATTTGCAGTTTTTGAAAGACATCACTGATCAGGCATAAGTATCTGAAGGGGCACATCACATCTTCATACCCAAAGGCTATTAGAGTGCTGGAGAACAGCATCACCCTCTTCACTATCTGGAATAGGAGCCAATGTTATCATCGAGCACCTTAACTTGAGCAGGGTGTGCTTCAGCACTTTGGCCACATAAAAGCTGTGACTGACATCTGACACTTATAATTTTTGAGATTCCCAAAGGATAGAGACCAATGTCTTAGATATATTCCTATAAATGGTGACAGCAAAATTAACTTGGAGCATTCACAGGATATACAGGGATTTTGCTAATGTTAGTTAGAAATCATTCTAGACTATGCCCTGAACGCTCTGAAGGTAAAACAACAGACCAAGCAGAAACCAAAATGCTGGAAGATATGTAAAAGGAAGAAGACTAGGGAGCTAGAAAAATGTCATCTCTTGCCTCTAACTTAGGTAGAAATAGGATTTTATAATATGAAGGAATGTCCATGACAAATATGGACTTGTTCATACCTTATGGGAATTCTTGAGCCAGTGGGTACTCTTTTAAGCATAAAAGTCATTAAAGGACATGTAAAAAGAAAATACAACTTTACAAAGGTTTTTGGACAAAAAGAAATTTTACAAATCTATGCGAAGTAACCTTACAACTTGGAATAGAGCCTAAACCTAATAGTGCTTTGAGAATATGAAATTTTTTTCATATTTTTGGATTTTTTTCATGAAAGTTACTGGGAAAAAAAAAAACGCCCCAACAGGGCTGGGTAAAGTTTGGTGTCAGTGAGGGAGTCTCTCATGATGCCCAAGGTAATTTCTAGCTATTGACAAAATAGATTTGGCATGTTCATCAGTACAGTTGTGTTACAATCTGAGATGAAAAATGCTTAACGTTTCTTTTCAGAATACTCTAAAAATAGGGATGGCATATCATTTGTCTATTCAACACAACTTTCTAATATCTATGAACACTTTTGACCTTATATAACATTACTCTTACCGAATTCTTTCTGCCAGATCATTAGATTTAAAAACAAAACCATTTAGAAAATAAATCTGGTTTCTTTGATTTGGGAGAAGTTGGAGAGTAAATGACCCCTACCTGTGAGAGGTTCCACTGGGGCTGTTGAGCTTGCGGCAGGCCAAACTTACTCTGGGGTGTACCCATTTGTCCCACCATTCCTCCTTGGGGGCCAACAACGTTTTGAGGAAGTGGCATCACACCAGTTTGTGCATTTCCCATAAACCCATTGGGCATGGGCATGCCCACCATCATGCTTGCACTCTGTCCCATCACATTTCCTATAAGGCCAGGAGCTGCAGGCACAGGCACACCCATTGATGGAAAACCTTGAAATGCAGTCGGTGCTTGTGAGGTAAATGGTATATTTGTGGGTCCCATAAACACACCTGCATCACAAGAACCATGAGAAGAAAATGAATGAAGAAAACAGGGCTATTGCATATAGCTGCACTCACCACTATAGTCGGAGAAAAAGGATTACTGTCTTTCTCAAATACTCACAGCAAAAATTTTAATTCCAGTCTGCTCCTATTGCACAGACCAGCACACACCTAAACCTTCAGAGCTGATTATTTCCAGAATGCAGGCAAATCAGTTACCAACCTGAGTAAATCTAATTAAGAAATATATGAGTGTGAGGCACACGTCTGGGGGATGGTCACGCTTAAAGCTCTGACTCAAGGGGGGAATAGGGGGCAAGGGTAATATATGTAACCTTAACATTTGTACCCCCATAATAAGCTGAAATTTAAAAAAAAAGGAAAGAAATATAAATATTATGCAACAGCCACACAAAGTATTGTGAAGACCAAACTACATGGCATGAGATTATATGCTGTTTCTGCTGATTTGTACCATTGGTCTCCCAATACCCAACAGGCAAGTGAGAGTTGACTGTATTTGGGTTTGATGGAAATAGCTGGGTTATTATATAATTTTAGCTCATATGTGAAATGCAGCTTATTATTTTAGAGGAAATGGTCTGACAAATTAAAGCTGTAAACTGTATGCTAGTATGTCATTCTAATTACAAAAAAATTTCAAACTTTTTTGGAATAATGTAATAATTCAGATTGTTTATTGTTTACCTGCAAAGAAAATGTACACAAAAAGTTATAAACTTCATGCAAATAAAATTTCAATAATTCTTCAAAGATAATCCATGTCCTATAAGCTTGTGAAACAACATTAAGTGATATGTGAACAGCTTGTTAATCCTAAATGAATAAAGTTTTGTGAATCCTGTACATGCTCTTTAATTTTTTAATTCTAACACTTTGTTCATTTCAGTTTCATAGCTGTTTAAACTATAAGAAAAGCACCCACTATATGGAAATATAGGGAAGAAATATATATTATAATCACAAAGGATGTACTTCTAGTAATGTCACAATTCATTGAAAGCAGATTTCAAAAGTACATACCAGGAGTACTTTGCTGTTGAATGGTTCCTGTACCATACAGAGATAAGATGGAGTCTTTGGAGAGTTGTTTCTTTGCCACTTCTTCCGATTTTGTGGTTTGCTCAGTGAATAGATCCAGATCCCCAGATGTTACTGTAGAAAGGGGAGCAGCTGCTGATGCAGAGGACGTCCCCTGAAATAAACAACAAAAATAAGGGGTTGATTTCTGCATAGTAAAGTACAGCTCATCTGTAACTTGAAATCCAAATAAAGTTATAAAATTAGACAACTGCAGAAGGTAAAATGGTATCTAACATTCAAGAGGATAAGCCCACATACAAACATCTAGAGTAAGAGGCACAATGTTTAATTTGAATCTGCTAATGTAAAAGAGGTAGATGCAGCTCTTTCATAATAAACTGCATTTACATGCTAGGCTGACACCACTTTTTTGCTCATCACATCCCGAACACAAGGGGTTCAATAATAGTTATGTGGCTGCTGTCTTGAGGGCCAGCACTCCTTGGCAACTACTGCTTCGAGGAACTGGTATCCCTTGGAATAAATAACATTTCTACAACTACAGCAGACTGCAAGAGGGTCCTTCTGTCATTTAAAAGGTTTTGTCTTTTATTATAAAAAGCTGCATCATAAAAGATTTATAGACCTAGTCTAGGTAAGTTTTAACCACAACATTAAAATGCTTCTAATCTATCCAGAAATGAAGTACAGCAAAAATTCAACCGCCTACACTCTAAACAACATCCTACACTCCATTTTTTGATAAGAGGCAAATGAACATAAATACAAATAAACATGTAGATAGTTAATATAACACAAAAATGTTCACTTAATCACCTATATCTTGCACACAGATAGTATTGTACAATCATAACCACTAACCTTAATGATCACATTCACATCTGTTTATATGGACTTGTTTTAAATATAAAAAAGAGTTTCAAAGAATTCTACGAAGACTAGTATAAGCTGGCCAAGATTCTTCTCAAACCATAGAATAAAGTGAACAACAAGTAGAAGTTAAATTCAAACATTTAATGTCCTGGCTAGAACAACTTACAATAAATTACCATCAATTCTACTCACCAACTGATTTAAGCAGAACAATATTTTGAATCCATTATGACTAATTAAGAATTATGTGGTACAAAAAAAAGTCACCTAATTTTGCAAGAACTCTGAAATGTGTAAGAAATTAGACTTGATGGAATATCAAATTTAACAATGCCCTTGCATAAAATGTACCTAAGCTACCAATGAAGAAACAGCAGGTCACAGAGGCTAAGAACATGGGCTGGAGCCAGCCTGCCAGGACTTACTACAGTGTGTTTAGACATGTCACTTCTCCAGTCTCTCTCCCATAGAATAGGCATGAGCTTGATGACTACAAGAAGTGTGTTGTACAATGGCTGGGTTAAGCACTTAGTGTTTATTGTCAATATTGTTATATAACAAAGCAACTATATCCTTAAGTGATCTTTTTATCATTTTTAGTTTCTTTTCAATCTAAGAATCTGCTCAAGATCCAGGGACCTATTCCCTGTGTATGAGAAAAAACTATAAGAAAACCCAAGATGGTAGGGGAAGCTATAATTCCAGCCTCATACTGGAGCAGCCTGACTAGTATTCACATACTCTAAACATCATGTATGTTTCCTCTGATGAAAGTAGATACTATGTAACATCTACAACATAAACACAGTCTAAAAATGGCCAAAACACACAGCAGGGCTACTAAGCACTCAAATGTCCATTTACTTTTTTGGAGCTCCATTTGCCAGCACTACAACCCCAGGATAAAAGGAGAGCAAATTTGGCTGTCATTCTGTGCTTCAGAAAGTTGCAGGGCCTCTAACCAAAGGTTCTCTGTCTTCTGGGATCCCAGGGATAAACCAAGCAAGGACAGGACTCAGCACTTGGGCAGGTCCAGATACTGGTAGTGTATGTATATGAAAGATAGGACAGGAAAGGAGTTTTTCCACGTCAACATTGGAAACTCTGAAACTGTTTTCCCCACCCCCAATATACATGTTCTGTCTGCTGAGTATTTCTAACCCCCTTTAGGGAAGATTAGATTCCAGATACATATTGCAGATGGTAAAATCAATCTAATTCATATTCACAAGTTAGGAAATCCTTTACTAGAATTTATACATACTCAGAAAAAAACACCAGGAATGAAAGAATACAGGGTTCAGAGTAATTCATAATCTTGGTGTCCCAACTAGTTTAAGCTCAATTTCATATACTAAAAACCCTTCAAAATTAGTAAATTACATAGTACTAATATATATATATAATCTGTATTTTCAACAGCCCCCTGCATTTTCAAAGGCATTATTTTGTAAATATGTCTGGATTTTAATCATTATATATAGATGAACTATAATTCTGTTCACCAAATATTTTACAGGAATTAATATAACTGGCACAATTTTGGTCCCAAAACAATGTTCCAAGAAAAGAATTAGCTATGATTTTAAAAAATTAACCCTATAATTCTCCCAGGAACTGATCAGAATGCCTAAAGCATGAAGGCCAGTCCTAACCCTCCAAAAGCCAGGAGCTACAGCCCACACTCCTTGTCATGGCACTACTTTTTACTTAAAAGTTAAATGAGCTTGGCATGGTGGCATGTGCCTATAGTCCCAGCTACTCAGGGAGCTGAGGCAGGAGGATCACTTGAGGCCAGGAGTTCATGATCAGCCAGGACAACCCAGCATGGCCCTGTTTCTAAAAATAAACAAAAACAAAATTAGCTGAGCATGGTGGGGTGGGTCTGTAGTCCCAGCTACTTGGATGGCTGAGAGGATGTCTTGAGACAAGAGTTCAAGCCTAAGACCAGCCTGGGTAATATAGTGAGATCCCTTCTCCAAAAAAAAAAAAAAAAAAAAATGTTAAATGAAGCCTGCATTATTCCACTTTCTGCTTTAATACTGAGCAGAACATGTGAAGTACACTGAAGCCTCAGAGGTGGGGTCTAATTCTGTAAGCAGTTGCAAAGCAACTCTTATACCCCAGAGGAATCTAAAGAAGTCTAGCAGATGTCACAATATTAGACAATTTTTTATTGTCACATGTACATCCATGTGTACAAATTCATAAGGTAATTAATGCTAATTAAGTGAAACAGTAACAATACTTAGTCTCTCTTTTTATGTGCTATGGGAGGGGGGAAAGGGGCAACGCCATAAAATAAGCTATCTTTGCTGAAAATAAGCACTACTGCTGCAGACAATTTTGATAAAGATCCATTTTAAAATAATTCTTAAAAAATCTACTTGTTAAATTCTAGTGGTAACTATACAATAACTATCATAACAATAAATTTATGTGTAATAAAATAGATTGTTAATCTTCTTAGTAAGACTTTTTACTTATTAAAATTTTCTATCCAAACAAATTCAATGATTTGGCTCAGTTTTCCTATAGAAAAGGAAATAGTTTATCTCAAAAATTATACTGTACTAAAACAAACTAGTTGTTTATTTGTAAAGTATAAATTTAACATAGAATCTTCATGTTGTTTGCTTAAGAGTAACTTGCTTCCTAAATAGTCATATCTTCAACTTATAGAAATTCTATGTAATGTTGAGAAGGCAATTCAAAATTTCTTCACCATAATACTTTTAAAATATCTGAAGTGACTTTGTTGATCTCAGGTAAAGTTGAGGTAGTCTGAGTTTTTCCATTTGTGCATTTTAAACACTGTTATTTACCTAAAGTGAGGGTTAGAACTTTAAAGACAGTGAACATTTTAGGCTTTATGGGTCATACAGTCTCTGTTGTAACTATTCAACTCTACTTTTGTAGCACCAAAGCAGCTACAGACAATATGTAAGACCAGTGCGAGTGGCTGTGTGCCAAAAAACTTTATTTGCAAAGACTAACTGCAGATTTAGCTTGCAAAGCCCTGGCCTAAAGAAGAGGAGGCTTTCAAATCAGTGAATGCTCAGAAATAATTCTTTTAAAATTGAAATTTCAAAACTTTTCAAAAAGTTTTGGAAATAAGCAACAACTATATAAAACCATATTCTTTTTTTTTTTTTTATTTCGGCATATTATGCGGGTACAAATTTTAAGGTTTCAAAAAGTGCCACATACCTGAGCTGGGGGCATGACAGTTGCGGGTAAGGGATTAGAAATCATCGGTCCAAAGATGTCCAGATCATCATTCAGGGCTGGCACTGTTGTGTTTCCATTGGTCACTGGTGCCTCAGCAGGGCCATCTGAAAAGAATGTAGATTCTTATTGTAAGGTGGATTCTCTTAAACTACTTAAAATATGGCATTACTTTTAAAAATAAATATATATTAAAAAGGGAGGGAGTTCAAAAGCTGATGAAATATATGTCTCCCTTCTTCTCCATATATCTTCTTTCCCAAAGAAATCATTTCCAGAAGTTGTATTGTCCCAGAAATATTCTTATCCATTGGTTTCTAGGTATATATCCAAACCTCCTTTTTAACAAATGGTATCATACTATATCCTGATTTTTTTCAAACTCTTGACCTTGAGTTATCCTCCCGCCTTGGCCTCCCGGAGTGCTAGGATTATAAGCGTGAGCCACCGTGCCCAGCCACTATATCCTGATTTTTAATAACAGGATCACTTTTTATAGCACTTTCTATGTGCCTGGTACTGTTCTGAGTACTTTACATATATTATCTCACCTTTTGAGATGGATACTACTCTTGAGATAAATGGCTAAGGTAGAATTTGATACTAGGCTCTTATAAATAATGCTCCTCAATTAATGTATGCATGTGGGTATGTGCATTTTAGAGATCATTTAATTTCTATCTACCTTGCAAATAAATTTTGATGATGTTTTTGAGATAGGGTCTTGCTCTATTGCCCTGGCTAGAATACAGTGGAATATTCATGCTCACTGCAACCTCAAACTTCTAGGCTCAAGTGATCCTCCTGTCTCAGCCTCCCAAGTAGCTAGGACTGCCAGCATGCGCCACTACAGCCAGCTGATTTTTTTTAAAAAAATTTTTGTGTTATATTTTTGAATATGAGTTCTGTTGTGGAACCAATGCAGTACGGACAGTTCGAAATATCAAAGTGTTTGGGAAGGATGTAGTTAATGAACGCACAGTACACTGATGGTTTGAGAAGTTCCATTCTGATGATTTTAATTTTGATAATGAGCCACGTGGGCAACCTGAGACTAAGGTGGATAATGATGAGCTGAAAGCTATAGTAAAGCCAATCTATCACAACCTATGCATGAATTAGCAGCAAGGTTTGACGTTACTATTCCAACAACATTGGACCATTTGAAACAAACTGGCATGGTAAAGAAGCTGTACAGATGGGTACCTTATAAAAGAGCATCAGAAGAGAAATTGTCTTGAAGCTTGCCTTTCTTTCCTGTCATGACACAAATGCGAACCATTTCTACACTGTATTGTTATGCGTGATGAAAAATGGGTTCTTTTTGACAATCACAAGCGTTCAGCACAATGGTTGGATAACGATGACATGCCGAAACAGTCAAAAACCAAATACTCATCAATAAAAGCTAATGGTGTCTGTTTGGTGGTCCAGTGCTGGTATTATCAACTGCAGCTTTATGAAACCTGATCAATCGATGACAGTGGATGTCTACTGCAACCAACTGGACAAAATGATGAAGATGCCTGTGATTAAGTAGCTCAGATGGGTCAACACAGACAGGCCAACCCTCATGCAAGACAACACTCGACCACATGTTGCACAAACAAAGCTGCTCAAACTACAGAAGCTGGACTTGGAAACTTTCTGTCATCCGTTGTATTCACCCAACCTTGCACCAACTGACTACCACTTCTTTCAGGCTTTGAACAACTTCCTGCAAGGAAAAATATTCAATTCTCAACAAGCTGTGGAAAACACCTTTTGTAACTTCATTGCTACTGGCTCCATGCTTCTTTGCTATTGGCAAAAACAAGACTACCATGAAGATGGCAAAACTGTGTCAACAGTTTAGGCATACACTTTAATTGTACTGCTTCTTGTTTGAGATATAATAAACTACACTGATTTGGAATCAGACATTTCATATTTAATGACCTAATACAGTTAAGACTCATACATGAAAGTAATGTTTTTATTTCTAACACTTTCAAATGGCAGCATTCATTTTGAAGTAAGACCTCTTTAAAGAGCTACTTTTTTCCCCAGTTCATTCCATATTCCATTTATATGATGTATAGTCCATCATGTAAATATTAGCCATAAATAAAGCAATATTTTAAAAGGACAAGGTATTCTAGAATTAAAACACAACTAGGACAGGCACAGTGGCTTACACCTGTAATCCCAAGTGCCTTCAGAAGCTGAGGCAGGAGGATCATTGAGGCCAGGAGTTTAAGACCAGCCTGGGCAACACAGCAAAACCTTGTCTCTTCCAAAAATAAAAACATTTAGCCAGGTGTAGTGGTGCACACCTGTAATGGAGCTATCATGAAAGTCAACTCACAATTAAGTCTGAGGGGCTTTGGAATCCTTTAGAATGAGACAGAGGAAGCACCTGCTTAGAGATAGGGATGTTTGTGGCAAGGTTGACACTATTTTCAACTGACTAGGGAAAATTTTTTCATAACTCCAAAAACCTAAGGTAAGGAACTTCCCCCAGGCCTGACCAAAGTTTTTCTCTATATAGTTGCCTTGTGATGGGCACCGGTGATTTCTATTCTCACACCTACAATATACTTGCCCCTCTTTTCTTTCTACCCCAGTCTTCTTTCCATGTGATCCCTCAACAAAGGGTTCTGGATTTCACTCTCATCAATTTTCCTTGTTACTACCAAAGCTATACATTCACAGAAGTGTTGACAACAAATTCTTAACCTAAATGAAAACTACTCAGCCTTCCAAAATCAGTAAATACAAGTTCCCAATGGGTTTCAATGTTTGCTAATTTTACTTACTACATTTGGTTTCCTAAACACATTCTTTAAAAAGGATTATTTCAATTCATTTTTAAGGTAGTGTTTTTAATTTTTTGTATTTAAAAAGGACAATTAAAGACTCATCATTACTATCATTATAAACATCACATTTATCTTGGATGTTTTTAAAGAATGTTTACATGTTATCATTTCTGTCCCCAGGAAAGATGAGAAGGACATCTCCTTCCACTATCTCCAGTTACAGAAACTAGGGCACAGAGAGATTAAAAGAATTCCTCAGTGTCAACTCATCTAGATAGCACAACTTGTACTAGAATAAAGTCTTCTGACCCCTAGACTAGTTTTCTTCAAACCACATTTCATCAAAAGCCATGTAATTACAATTGTACCTAATTACAAAGAAATCACTTAAAATTCTGGAAATTAAAAATGAACTTTTAAATAGTTGGTAATTATTTGTACTAAGTTTGAGAAGCAGTGACTTAAACCATCCAAAAATCATTTGGCATAGAACTTCAACACTTCCTCATTTTCTTCCCATCCTTGTACCAAACCCAGTGTCTTCTCAATTTACAGGGAGGGATACCAGAGGATATGGTCATCAATGAGCAAACTGGACTGAGGGAAGCACCTGTATGGGATATAATCAGCCCTTGGTCAATGGACAGTATTCACAAATCACTGGGAGTTAAATGCATTCTTTTGATCAAGAGCCCACTAACAACATGGCTCCTGCTGACTGAATAAAAGCTCAGAGGCCACAAAAGCAACAGAATATCAAGACATTGAAAATAGTTTTTCAGATAAATAACTTAAATTTAGAAAGAATAAGGTTATTCAAATCAAATAGTTTAAATCACCGTAATTAAAGAAAAACATTTAAATATGGATGGGTTATGTCTTGTTTGTGCATGTGCATGCTTATGCACACGGATGCAGACAAATGGAAACTTCCTGTTTCAGGGTGGAGGGGACCTCAGAACAACCACACAGTGCCTTCTATGAGATAAGGACCGATAAGGTGATGTCTCTGCAAACTAATCAGAATTCACCGTTGACATGCACTTTACTGTGTGTGTTTCTTGCTCAGCTATAGATGGTGGTGGGAGCAGCCAGCAGCTCCCTTTAATCAGTATGCAGAAACAGTAGTTGGTGGACAATAAAAATAATGGGAGATCCAGAGTACAAGAAAAGCCTAAGGCAAATAGAAGAAATTTAGCTGGGACAACATCATAAAGAACGATAATGAAGCACAAAGGACCCCTTGAACAGGCAATGAGCAAACAGAAGAAATTAGGACAATGCAGTAAAATGAAGAAGGGATTTCAATCTTAAAGGCAAGGCATCAAACTTACACAGTTAGTAGTTTGTGGGCAACTACTCTCTTCCATTGCCTTAAGATTTTAGGCTGGCATTTACTTGGGAATTGAGCTGGGAGATGAATGTTTTAAACACATACCAGAAATTGACAAGAAAAGGTTAAAATGTTTTGAGCTACAGAAAAAAAAATGTTGAAATCAGGGCTACATCTTACATGAGCATAAGGCATGCCCAGCATGCATTCACTGGCCTACTTCACACTAAGATATAGAGATGCTTAGAAAGAAGATAACATTTCAAATATGACAAAAGTCTTGGAGGCCAGTCTCTGTCACCTAGAAATCCTCAATATGGTGAGTAGCCTTTCAATTCTATTAACTGTGACTATACCAGAACTCATGATACCAATAATCCAAAAGAGAAAAAGGTGAACTACGTATTTTAAACAATATTTAATGTTTTCCTTTTGGTTCATTCCAAGTGTCTATGAATGATAATTTATAAACTAAAAGGAAATAAGAATATAATACTTCCCATTTTAATACATGTTTAAACACTAATATTTATTTATTTATTTAAGTTGTATGTGCCCAGTACTGAGATCAATGCTTCATGTAAAGTATCTCAATTTAATCTGTATATCACTTCAAGGGAATGTGCACAGTAAGCCTAGAACTTCAAGAGAGGTCTGGCTGGTGCACCTGGAAAACCCAACTGCTATAACCAGTTTGAGAAATGTTTCCTATTACCTCCAGGCAGAAATAGGATCCCCTTCCCTATCCGCAGTTAAAATACTTTACATGGCCAACAACTTACCTCCCTAGAATAGAACCTTGAGGACAGGGGCTGGCTTTACTACCCAGCCTAGGCATAGTTACGTGGCTAGGCTCCCTTCTGAGGCAATGCATGACTCCTGCCCACAACGCCTGGCACCACTTCCACTGCAGGCCATACCACCCACATCTGGTCATTCGAGCTTACTGACTCTGCCTCCCAAATGTTTCTCT